ATCCTCCTGCCTCAGCCTCCTGAGTGCTGGGATTACATGTGTGTGCTACCACACCTGGCTCACATTTGAAAATTTAATGGTATTACCAAATTCCTTTAATTCTTTATTTTGTAATATATTATAAACATTTTGCAAAAATAGACTGTTACAGTAGATAGCCATATGCCCATAACCAAATCCACTAGTTGTCAAAATTTATTGCCCTTGCTATTTTAAAGCATATTTTGGGTTATTGCATCCATATATATTTTCACTGTAAAAAAAAAATAGTCCTTTATAAAACAGAAATACATTTTATTTTAAGCATGTATATTTTACCTCTTGTTAAAGCTGATAGTCCTTCAATAGTATATAAACCATTTGTGCTCCTGAGATTCAGTGGAACCCAAATTTGTTAGGTTTTATTTTTCTTTTATTTATGAAATTCATTGTTTTATTTACAGGAATATTTTAAATTTGTACATCTAACTTTCTCATGGGCAGTATAATGGCTGTCAGAGCCAAAATGTAGGTAGAATCAATGATAGAAATGAAATCTCCATTGAAAGGAATAAAAATACCACTAGGCTAGTCTGCTATGCTTCTTTGTATCCCTCACAAATTTGGGATGATTATCTTGTCAAAGCATTCGAATTCAGTATGTAAAATTGTTTTATGACTTGACTACTGTGAATTCATTGCAGACTTTTGAAAGAGCTGTGCAAGAGAATGTGAGCATTAATGGGCAAGCTTGGCAGGAAGCTTCAGATAACAGTTTGATGGGTATGTGACTTAACTTTTTCCTTCTGTCATCGACTCCTGAATGGTTTCTCGTAGATAATTTTATTTTGAGTGCTACTTTTAATCCCCATTTTTAGTATCACTTGTTTTAAAAACTCTTTATTGGGGAAATAAAAGGAAATTAACATTTGGAGCACTACTACAGTCATAATGAGGGAAACATAGTAGGTACCTTGATATATATGCAGTCTGCCATTTTAATCAGGGCTTGCATTTAATTCTCAAAGTTAACCTTTGTCAGTAGTTCAGTGGGAGATACTGTGAACTATCTTCAGATGAAGAAACAGGTTCAGAAAATTCTAGTCATTCTTTCTAAGGCAAGTTGTAGTTGTACAAGTTATCCCTAGAGTGAATGCTGAGGTACTTGTAGAAGTGTGAAGTTAGAGTATACTAGTACCATGCGAAGGATGAGATCAATAACTATTAAAGTCTTCTTAAAAAAAAAATATGTTCTTGAGCCAGAAAGATTGATTGTACACTAACTAATGGCATTGTCATAGCTAAAGAAATCCAAGTTTTAGTAAAAAGAGAATGGTCAGCATAGAAAAGAAATGATGGATTAGTGTGGAAAGAGGGCAGAATTCCCCAGTGGTCATGCAGCAATGTCCAGAGAAGGGCTACCTTGATAAAAGAGTCATGATGTCTAGTCTGTCTCCATGGTGATAGTCCTCAGGTCTGACCAGCGTAGCTGACTATAAGTGCTTCCAGGTTATCAGTTATGTCCTTGAGCTGATTCCAACACCACCAAGCAACCTCTGTGGTTTAATTTTTCTTGTCAACGTCAAGGTAGTACTTGGCCCAGAAGATGTTACTATCTAGTCTTTGAAATCATTATATTTGTCTTTTTGAAGTCACCAAAATTCACTCTGTGATTTACATATAAAAACAGTAGCATCAGTTTTGCCAAATATTAACAGAATAATTTCCAATTAGTAGAAGGGAGAAGCGGCAAAGCGCCTGCCTGGCAAGCGCAAGGTCGTGAGTTCGGTTCCCGGTACCGGAGAAAAACCAAAAACCAAAAAAAAAAGTAGAAGGGAGAGAGTATAGCAAAATCAGCTAGAAATACTTTCAAGCTACACAGCTTTTCATTGTCTTTATTTGACTCCTGTGAAGTTGCTTTGAAATTGCTGTATTTATTGCTCAGTCCCAGATTACTTATAGTGACATAATTTATCAATTTATAGATGAGTTTTTCAGTAGTCTGGAGAAAGATATATTTACTTTATTGATTTATTGGAAACACTAAGAGATTAGTTGCTGTACTTTGTCCCTTTCTCCTATGACCATGAAGAGAAATAATTGACAGTACTGCCCTGTACTTTTTAGTTGCTTCCATGGTTACTTAAATGAAAGGTCCTATGCCAAATGTTGGGAAATAGGTGAAAACACATGGCCCTTCCTAGTTTAGGAACTTGCTCTTGGGAGGAAGTGATCAAGGGATCCCTGCACTCTTTGGAAAGTGGGAGAAGACCTAACGGATTAGGTTAAGTTAAATGCATTTAATAAATGGAACTGTGCTAGAAAGAAAAGAATTAGGAAGGACATTTGAAAGAAAGAAGACAACAGTGCAAAGAACAAAAAAGTTATGTGTTTAGAAAATGTCAGAAGCGAATTGAGAAAACTAACGGCAGGTATGGCCAGAAAGATAAATTGAGGCCAGATCATGAATTTGTGCCTGAGGAATTTGTATTTTATCCTATAGGCAGAGGGGTACCTGGGAAGGGTTTTGAAGTAGAATTATATGACAAGGTTTATATTTGAGGAAGCTGACTGCTGGCTGTGTGAGGGGTGGGCTGGAGAAGGGGAAACCGTGGGGAGTTTACTGTAATAGTGCAGCAAAAGAGGATGAACAGTTATGCTAAAACACTAGAACAGAAGGAGGTTCAAGAGATACTTAAAAATACAGTTCGTTGCTAATTTAGTACACGGAAGCAGTAAGATTCACAAGGTAGACATTTTTGTCTGTTTTGTTTACTGAGATTTCTCAGTGCATGTGACATGAGTGAAGGGATGAACGTATAAAAATGAATAAATGAGTCAACATTTGAATGAAACCAACCTTTTCTTTGCCCTGTAACTACCCCGAAAGGATTGGATTATAGGAGGCTTGTCAGGTAAATTTAAGATTTAAAATTATAAGTCCTGTAAAAGCAGGGAGTGTATCTGTTTTTCTCATCACCATTCTCAGTTCAGTTTAGCATATAGTAAGCACTTATTAAATATTTGCTAAATTAATAGATAATTTTTGCTCATATTTATTTATACATTTCAGTTTTGCAGATTTATCCTTAGGTGGTCCTAAGAAACTTTTTCCTCTTTATATAAAAGATTCAGCTGCGAGATTTTAAAGAATGGTTGTAAAATAGTACATTATTCTTTTCAGGCTGGTGATCTAATTATTTAATGGAGATATTAAAATTTAGAGCCGCTTATTTAAATGAGTATTAAAGTAAGAAATGATGGCCTCTCTCATAATACCTACAAAAGATGTAATTTATTTGGATTCAAAGAATATTTGTTATATGATTGAAAGACCATATCTGATGTATATTAATCCTTACTTGCTATATATGTATATGCTGATTATATCAGCAGTTTCTCAAAATATTTCAAAAAATGTTTCAGGTTTCATACTTCCTAAAAAGCTTCTGCTTAATGAAGCAGATTGATTTCTAGCATAGACTTTGACACGCAGAACGTATATGATGCACACCAGTCAAGCTGAGGACCTAGTTCTTTAGTGTTTGTAACTACTTCATATTTTCACTCTTTAAAATGATTTTGAAAATAAGATTGAGTGGATCACCTGCATTCATGTCATTTCTGTGCCCCATCCTAGACATATTGAATCAAATTTATACACTCTTAACATACTTCCTAGGTGCTTATTTTCTTGCTGAAGTTTGAGAATCATTTTAATCAGGCGGCCTGTATCACTGGTGGTACAAATGAATCCAGTCATTTTTATTGATCTTTTTACTAATGAAATTAATAAAAAGCTGCCCAATGGGACAGTCATGCATATACCACCAGTGATTCAAAGCTCTTGGAAGTGAGATATTTGAGTTATGGTCTCTTGACATGATTGTGTTAAAACATAGGAAAGCATCTGACTTTAACTAAATGAAAAAAACTCCTAAAGTCACCATGTCTTTCATCTTTTCCTGTCATCTATCCAGTTGAGACCTATTTGAGATCTAGCCACTTCACTCACCGCTCCTGCTACAACTTTGGCTTGAAACAGTAAAACCAAAACTTGTTAGTATCCCTGATATTAAATGCCTTTTATGGTCAAGTTCTTATGTACATATTTTTATCCCTCTTTCCTTTAGTTTATCCTGCAGCCATGTAAAACTTCCCTGTTTCCCCAAAGACTCTGTGATCTTACAAATAATATTTATTCTGCCTAAAAGGTTTCTCCCTATAATTTTTTTCTGACCGTCCCCCCCCCAGTGGATTTACATTTGTTTGAAGCTCAGACTTCTTTTTTAAAGTTTTAAATTCCCCAGGATTATGTAGTCCCATTGTTTGTGTCCTGATAACGTTTTGTTCTGACCTCTAGTGCATTTATGGAGTTGTAATTACCTATTTCTTGGGATCATGTTACCTTTACCTTTGTATTTCTCTGTTTTAGACTTGGCTTCCTATAGGTGCAAGGTAATTGATTGTTCAGTGGGTAAATGAATTAATCACCAAAGTAAGGACAATTATTAACCTGCCATATTTGGTTCTTTAATTATGTCGTGTTTTCTAAATTTAATTATGGTCATCACGTTTCCATCCAAATACAATGAGTTTTACCATTTTTTCTGAAATAGATTCTGACATCAAAGTACTTGAAGATCAATTTGATGAAATCATAGTAGATATAGCGACAAAACGTAAGCAGTATCCCAGAAAGATCCTTGAGTGTGTTATCAAAACCCTAAAAGCACAACACGAAATTCTGGTAAGATGATTTAATTTTAAATTTTTGTGTATATTTTACCACAGTAAAAATACTAAAATATAAGAACCATGTGGAGATAGATGACATTTTATTGTCTTTATCTTTTCTGCCTCAATTAGTACCTTATTTTGTAAGTCTTTTTTTGTTTTTTGGTAGCAGGAATGAGACTTAGGACCTTGCGCTTGCCAGGCAGGCACTATATACAAAGTCTTGAACACAGCTGATACTAAAATTAGAAATGGAAGATTGACAGTGACTTTTAAGATTGAGACCAGGACGGGAAAGGAAATTTAATTAATTAATTATTTTTTGCTGCTGAGGACTGAATCCACGGCCTACATCCCCAGCCTCAGAACATTTATCTTTTGTATGTTTTCTATTTGTCATTATTTTTGGCACATTATTTGTACATGTTTGTATACTTTAGAAAACTTTAGGTGTAGAAAATTGTTTGTTTGTTCATAACACTGAAATTTGCTTTAAAAATCATAATCACCTGGCTCAAAAGATCAGGAAGTCAGCTCTGTCAGCCTGAGCATTTTAGAGATGTAGAACCATAGGCTTGCTTGTTAAAATTACTGTAGATATGTGATCAACTATGTCATACCCATCTTTCAGGTTTGTTACATTAATAGTAAATTCAAATAAGCCCATTGCACATTGACTCAGTCTTCTTTTGCAGGGTGTGGAGGAGGTTTGCTGGCGATGGTACTGCCCCATATGAGGCATACATGTTCCTTCTAGGTTATTCTATAGTATTCACCTTCAATTTTTAAAACTATTATACTTCCATATATAAATCTTCTGAGTGCCTCTTTTCCAGGAATTATTTTAGGGAATTAAAGTCCAGGATTTATATTTTAGTTATTCTGTGAAAAAATTTCATAAGCAGAATGCTTTATTTTTTTCCTTCCAGAATAGTTAATCCTCAGAGAAATACCCCACTCCCTACTGTTCTAAAGTTTCTTCAGAAAAAATAAAGCATGTTTATTCTCTGCTGTCTCTTTACTCCCTCCCAAGAAACTCCTCAAAGCAGTAATTACTGTTGCATGCAGTAAAGCAGGTGCAGTCCTCTGTGAGTCACCCCATGCTAGTTAAAAAGTGAGCAGAAGATGAGCTCAGGGCACTTACAGAGTCTTTTATGTCTTTGAACTCTTTGGCTCTTGCAGGTAGGAATAAGGATATTTTCCCCCTTCCTTCTCTCCTGAGTTGTAGAGTCTGTGCCAGTGGCCCAGTACGTCGCAGGACGTATGGCTTCCGTGCTGACCTGGAGCACAGCCCCTTGTTTAGAACAGTTTCTATGGAAATAGGAATTTTGAGTTTCACACACTTGTCCTAAATGAACTCTTGAGACATAGTTCATAATCTGGAGACTACCCTGTACTTTAAACGCAGAATTTAGTCTGCCTGTAATTTGCTTTTTTTTTTTTTTTTTGCTATTTCATAGTGTTTGCAGTAGGTGGCAGTACATTAAAAGAAATAATTCAGATAGTCTGTCCTAAACTTTTCTCTCCCTTCCCTTCATATTTCAGGATCTTAAAAAAAGTTTCCCCTTTAAAGGAATTATACTATGGTATTGGCTACATATTATATTTGCTTACATTAGATGAAACAAGTTGAGGCATTAAATGATTAATTAACTCCGTTTTGATCTATACTGTGTTTAGAAGCAGTACCGCCCTGTTGTACATCCATTGGACTTAACATGTGACCCTGATCCAGGTGAGTCAGTGTTCATTTTTGATAAAAATGAGCAAGCAGTGTGATATTCGTGAGTCCTTACTGTTCTTGTGAAAGTGTCAGCATCCTCTTTCTTTTTGCCAGTTTAACTCATTCCCAGTCATCCATATTAGTTCCTCATTTAGAATTATGAGAACTTTCTCTAAACTTACTGACTCAGTCTCCAAGCATGAGACCTGGAATCTGAACTCTGTCCTCACTAGGCTATTATAATATTTTCCTTCTCTAACTGTTCTTATACAGTTTATTCTTTGCTTTACAACCGAAATTGTCTACTAAAACACTGTCTCATAGTCTCTCCCTTCAGTTACCTTCATTGGTTTTGCCTTGTTTATAGTCTAATAAAAACCATACTGTTGAATTTAGGAGATAAGCTGTTATAGTTTGTGTAGCTGTCCCCCCAAGGCATCATGCAGTCATAGGGCTTTTTCAGGGGTGGCTGAATCTAGAGTGTGTGATGCTGGGATTAAGGGTGTGAGTAGATAGTTTGCATACAATATAAGGGACAGAAAAAGTCTTATTTTGGCCCCTTGTTGCTTTGCTTACCCTCTGAACATCATTAATGTTTTCTCTGAGGCCTGTCTGCCACACCACACTGTCTTGGAGCCAGCTGATTATGGACTGAACCCTCTACAAACTAAGCCAAATAACCTTTTCCTCCTTTGATTTTAGGTGTTAGGTATTTTGTCTGAGCAACAAGAAAAGTAACTAAGACATGAGAATATGCAATATGCCTTTGAAACCAATTCTGTTTTCATTCAGATGCATCATTAAAACAAGAAGTGTTATCGCTTCTTGGCCTTTTGGCTGAGATCAAGTGTAAAACAAAGAAGTGTTGATCTATAGGGAAGAGAAGGAAAAAAATTAACACCAATTTATATAAATCTATCAACAGACCTGGCATTGCTAAGAAAAAAATCATATTTATTTTACAATGGCTCTATTCTCATATTTAAATTTTTTTAACAGTTTTTCTAAGAGACCCTTTGGAGTTTGTTTTTAACACTGATAATGCCATTTCTAAAATACTAGAGAAAAATTAAAATACAGTTAATCTTATAAAAATCTATTTGTATGCCATATTTATACTTGTAGCTTTGAATACCTTCTTGTTGTTGGATTCAGAACTACTTTTTAAAAAATTGTACTGGGTATTGAATACAAGACTTTGTGCCTGCTGGGCAGGTACTCTATCACTGAGCTATTTCTCTCTTTCTTTTAAAAATTTTTATTTTGAGACAGGATCTCACTATATAACCCAGGCTAGTCTCAAACTTACAGTCCTCCTGCCTCAGCCTATAGAGTAGGTGGGATTAAAAGTATGTGACACCATTCCCAACTTCTGAACTGTTTTTTAACGCAGTATCCATGACCTAAGGCAGAAGGATAAACTGAGAGTGTGAGTACAAGCATCAAAGTAGATGTTGGTTAAAGCATAGCAGTCTGTCTGATTGTGAAAACCGCCTGTGGCCCTCCTGCTTAATCCGTTATCATGGTTCACTAAAAATGTATAGTTTCCAAAATGCAGTAGTTGACGTATATTTGTTTTGGTTTTGACCAGCATAAAAATAGTAATTGAAGGCCTCCAATATAACTCAGCGGCATAGCACCTGCCTGGCGAGAGGAAGGTCCTGAGTTCAATTCCCAGTTCAAAAAAAAAGTAATTGAAACTTATGCCATTATAACACTCAGCTGTTACTTTTTAGACAGTTTATTTTTTCTGAAAAAACTTGGTAACTTTGTCTTAGTAGGGAAAACAAATTTATTTGAATGATTCTTTGAATTTGCATGGTTTTACTGTCACTGTTCTGGTTATGTAGCATTAGTAGAAAAATCTGTATATATGATTCTGATTTCAAAAATTAGCAAAGGAATAATGATTATATATCTTTCGGATACATTTGAAATTTTGTCATTTTCAGAATCTTTACAAGCTTAGAATAACATCAGTTTGTTAAGGACAGCAAAATTAACCTATAGTTATTAACTTCGTGTCCGTGACCAAACTACTTTTCTTCATTAAGCTTCAATTTCTTTACTAATAAAATGGTAAATTATTTATTTAAAACCTGATGCTGCCAGGCATGGTGGCGCATGCCTATGATCCCAGCACTTGGGAGGCTGGAGCAGGAGGATCATTAAGTGTTTGAGACTAGGCTGGGCTATAAAGTGAACCCAAGGCCAGCCTGTCTCAAAAAAACAAAACAAAACAAAAACCTGATGCTTTAGGTGTGAATTCCAATTCTGTTACAAAGTGTTACAGAATTTCCTGTCTACTTGTTGTTTTATAACTCAAGTAAGGTAAGTAGCTTTACAAACAATAGCTAAAACAATATATAATACTAGTTTATGGGCTATACTATATAATAACCTTATTATAAATTGCTTCCCATTTACAATAGTATACCCTACAGTATTGCATATCTTATATCTAACTAGTAAAATTAAATGAAATTAATTAAAATGAATTAGGATATTATATAAATTCCTGTATACTTAAAAATCTGAAAAAGCTGCATGGGAACCTATTGAAAGTTTTTTTTTTTCCTTTTTGTTATTGGAATATTAAGTGACATCACAGTTCTTTGAAAGCTGTCAGTTTTAGAGAAGGTTTTCTGGTTTTTAAAGTGCAGTGCTTGAGCACTGTGTATAACATTGATTCACACAGTTACACAGTTATGTTAGGAACTTTGGAAGGTACAGAGATAAAGCACATGAGAATCCCCCATTAAGAGCTGATGTCTAGCTGGGCGTGGTGGCGCATACCTATAATCCCAGCACTTGGGAGGCTGAGGCAGGAGGATCATCGCAAGTTCGAGACCAGCCTGGGCTACAAAGTGAGCTCAAGGCCAGCCTGCACTGCATAGCGAGACCCTGTTTCAAAAAGACCAAAAAAAAAAAAAAAAGAGCTGATGTCTAGAGAGCAGAAATAAGAGATGAACATAAAACAGGATTCTCTTTATCTTTCCTAACTGCTTCTTTGCTAATTTTCCCCATCTGAGTAAGTGGCACCTTCACCTATGTATTACATTAGCCAAACTCAACCCTTTTATATTAGCACACATTTGCATTACTTTTATGTCTTTGTGTGGTGTTGGTACGTGTGCATAACACATCCTAATTCCTGTTCTCACTCCCTTTCCCTTGCTCCCTTCCTTCCTTCCTTCCTTCTCTAGATCCCCCACCAATGTGAGAAAGATTATCTCCCTTGGTTGTTGGCTCTGCCACACTTGTGCCCCGCCCATTGATGTCTTATTCCTTGGAGTATAATCTCACACTCACCCACCTCTCTTCATCTTCCTGTTGCCACTTCTGTTCTCAGTCACCGCTGCTCTAGCCAGGATTTCTGCAAATAGGAAGACCTTTGTGTTTCTCTAGTGCTCTTTTCATTCTGCATACATCAGGCAGCATGATTGCTTTTTAATTCTTTGAAATATTTCAAACATACAGAAAATATGTAGTGTGACATAACGAACATCTTTGTACCTACCATCCGTCCTTAGGAGTTATCCACATTTTGTCATACTCGTTTCAGATCTGTTTTAGGAACTAAAATGTGAGATGTAGTTGAAACTTTGTTTATGCCACCACCATCATGGTCTACTGCCTTTTATCTGAGGAATCAAACTGCCGTCCTCAAGTAGTCTGACTCCTTCCTACCCATGTTTTTATGCTTTACTCTAGACACACGTACCTACCATGTATGGTATTTATTTTAAATGTTTAATATAAATTGTATCATACCAATCATATCTTTCTGTAACTTTCCCCGCTTCTACAGTGTATACTGAATAGTACTGCAGTGTAGAGGTACACCACTATTCATCCTTTCCTCTAATGAGGAGCACTTCAATTATTCTTTTTTCTCCCCCATTGATATTTTGCTCCAGGTTTCTTTTCTTTTTTTTCCCCCTAGACTTTTTAGCTTGTAGTTCTGCTGAGTTTCTCTGTTGTCTTTTTAAATTTCTCTGGTTCATTGATTTCATATCTTTAACATGGTCCTCCTCCTTTTATGGCTTTTCTGTTATTTTTAGCTCCTTGTGTTGATCACTTTAATTCATTCATCTTATTTTTTAATATGTGTATTTAAGGCTAAAAATTTTTCCCAAGTGTAGCTACAACTATTTTTTAGTTTCCAAATAGAGGAGTTTGCTTTTATCATTTCATATTTTATTGCCTTCCATGTTTGTATTGGTAGAATTTTCTTTATTCTCTTCTTTCGCAGTTTGGAAGCTGTACACTGTGTTTCTGTTCCTTTAGTGTTTCATATAAAATTTGAACTACTCTGTTAAAGTTACATAACAAAACAGCGTTATTTATCATTTTAATCCCTTCCTGAGCAGGACAGGACCTTTGTACACTCTACCCACTGCATACCTACCTTCTTCCCCTAATTTTCCTTCTTGTTCTCTAGAATTTAGTTCTATTGTTAGAAGAATTTTACAATTACCATTTCTTTGTACTCAGTGATGAGACTTATCAAATTTTCCCAATTCTGAAATTACTGGTGTTTCTTGAATTTCATGCCTTCCTATAGGTTTACTTTTCTTCTTGTGAAAGTTCTTAAGTCACTTTAGGTAAAAATCTGTAAGTAGTAAATTCTTTTTTCATCTTTGATCTTGAAGTTTCATCTTTGATCTTGAAGTTATTCACTTTTAGTCATCATTTTGAGTCTATTATACCATTATATGTGCTTTTGAAAAATGGCTTTATTGAAATATAGTTCACATGGCATACAGCTCGCCCACTTAAAGTGTACAACCCCAAGGCTTTCAGTTTATTTGGCCATCCAACCATCACCATAGTAAATTTTTAAACATTTTCGTCTTCTCAAGAAGAAATCTCATTCTTCGTCTGTTATCCTTCAGTCTCATCTCTTTCCCTGCCCTAGGTAATCAGTAAGCTACTTTGTGTTTCCATACACCTTATTACTGTGGGTGTTTTGTATAAGTAGAATATGTGGTCCTCTGTGACTGGTTTTT